GCCAGCGGAGGTGGTTCGGGGATCCGTTTCGGATGCCTCCTGTGCACCTTCCTAGGGAGGTGTTTCGGGCATGTCCCACCGGGAGGAGGCCCCGGGGAAGACCCAGGACACGCTGGAGGGACTATGTCTCTCGGCTGGCCTGAGAACGCCTTGGCATTCCCCCGGAGGAGCTGGAGGAAATGTCTGGACAGAGGGAAGTCTGGGCATCTCTGTTTAGACTGCTGCCCCCGCAACCCGGTTCCGGATAAGCGGAAGAAAATGGATGGATGGATGGATGGAGGGAATGCAATACGTCTATAAGTGTCCTCACAGCTATAGCAAGACAGCGTGAGTGTGCGTGTATGTGTCCATACCTCATAGAGACAGGCCTGGTGGAAGGGTTGGCCACAGCGAGGGTCATTACACACCTGATCAGGGATTGCAGCTTCAAGATGGTAAGAGTAACAGATCCCACAGTCAGCACTGAAACCCTGTGTACACAAAGTCACAATGAAATCAATGAATGGAAGCATTCAGCAGATTTTCTCACAAAATCTATGGCCATAGACGCTCAAGATCGGGCAGGACCACTATAACTGCTTAGATGATAGATTTAAATAAGAGTACTGTTTGTCTCTAACAACCTGAGCTACTCCTATCTCCAGTTCTACAATCACACTCAACACACACACTTTCTCTCTGTTCTTGTTTGTATTTTGGTGTAATGAGAGGCGCCTGTTTTTCCAAAGCCAACCATTAAGAGAGAACATGGCAGGTTTAAAAAAAAAAAAAGAAAAAAAATTCAACATCTGTTCAACTCAACTTTTTTTGCACTCCTCTGAATGTTAATGAAGCTGAGGCATTAATCACCGCGGCGACAGCGGATAAACATGACACCCTTTCAACCCATCCGTAGAGAGGGGAGGGGAAAAGAACAAGTGTTAAAAAAAGAGAGATAAATGGTTTTGCATGATTAAAGTGATTTGATAGTGCAGAGAATCCTGCCATCTTTGTTATTCTAATGATTTTCTCTGTAAACAACCTAATTAAACGAGAAATGGTGCCCACCTCTTATAAAAACAAAAGAGAGAAAGAAAAACTATGGAAATAGACAGAGAATTGGGTAGTGGTGTATGTCCACCCCCTTATAACTTGATGCTCAATGCATAGATGTAAACAAACACAAACACACACACACACACACACAAAATCACACAACTCCTTGAGGTAATCGTGATAGGAATAGACATATTTGAAATGGAAAGGGTGCAACTATGTGACGTACAGATTTTTCGTGGGTGGCAGGTGACGGGAATTTGATCTCTAAAACATCCCGGAGGTTGTGCAAGACGCTGAAGTTCGGGTTCCTGCCAGCAGACCACAGACAGCTCCTTCACACTCTAATTAACCACATGCAAATGAGCCTGCAAAAACACTGGGGGATGATTAGGAGGCTTTCACCACTGGTATAAAAAAACAAAACAACAACAAAAAAAACAACCCAGGAGCATTTCTGCAGCTTCATACTGAACAGTGTTGGAGGGAGATTTTCCTCAGACGTGTCATGCAGTGAGGCAAATGTTAAAACCTGTGGTGAAATTTAAAATATGTACTTCGAAATGAAGAATAATTATGTTCATCTGTAATCAGATGGTTCTTTGCCCTCAGAACGTAGTGGGACTGGTATGCAGGGTTTGAGTTTGACAAATGTTACTGCATGCAACAGAAAAGCAGGATATGCTCAGGACAAATGATGGAAACCCAAAAACTAAAATTTATACTATTAACAAGTACTGTTTGTATCTCTGTGATAAATGCCATTTCTCATTGCCACAGAACTCAATTTAACCCTGTAAAGCTTGACACATCAAAAAATAGCCAGAACATTCTAATTTTTCAGAACTGAGATGTTTATTAAACCTTTTAACAAAATCCAAAATATAATTCATGATTCAAAATTCAAGATTCACGATTTTTATTTGCCATATACTGTATGCATAGACAGTCCAGGCATATACGAATAGAGGTGCCATATTATTTAGATTATTTCTATTTCTTTTGTATCACATTTGATACATGGGGCATTTTTGGGGATTTCTTTTGCTCAGAAACCTCACATATCAAATATGATACAAATGGTTTTATAGGGTTAAGACATCAATAGGCCACACTGCTGCACTGCAGACATGCTCCTTCATTACCATGAACACACTTTGTACTTAGTCTAGTTTCCTTTTATTACTCTACCATCCTGCTACACACTCACTAGTTCAGTAAATGTGCTAGTTAGCATTCACCCTAGTTGATAACAGTCTACAACAAATGCACTATTACCTCCTTCTGTGCCCAAGTAGCTTGGTCCACAACAAACGGGTTTGAAAAATGGCTGTTAGCCAACAGTTGTCTTATAACACATCCAACAGGCACAGAGCAACATTAACAGTCGTTTGGAGTTGTGTTTGTCCTGCTGTGGAACAGAAATTGAAGATTCACTAAATTTTCAACCCTGTTTTAGTCTCCACCACCTCCTGAGAAAAATATCAGGCTCTTTAGCCGCTAAATGATCCAATATACATTACATGCTAACTTTGTCTGCTGTGTAGTGTTGTGTATTGTAGATGGTGTTTTACCAAAGACAGTGAAGTTGGATATGTTAGAAGACTAACATGTTGGCAGTTTAAGTCTTTAAATTGGCTTTTTTGAGAAATAATGAAACTGATTTATACTGATGGGCATATACTGCACATTATATATGAAACCTTCCAAGCTTCACATGTCAAACACCACAATCTTTAATAACCAACAAGATAAATCTGGAAAATAAGATGATAATCATATAATAATGATGTGGTCCCAATAATGTGGACTAGGTGTAGAATTAACACCTAGTCATTAATTGAAATAAAACTTACCACAAGTGCATATTGGCATTCAGCTTATTTCTCAACGGAGTCACCACTGCACCAACAAAAGAAAGGAAATTATTCTGTATTAGATATTAACTGTACCTGCAGATACACAATCATTGTATATAAGCCCTCACAAAATTAAACTGAGAGAAGCACACTCTGAATACCCTCAAATGCTGCCTCTTACTTGACAGCAGCCAAGTTCAGCACAGACAGCGGCATCACCACTCTCAGATGTGAACCGTCACTGTTCCACAGGGGAGCTTTGTCTCCATGCGGTACTCATCACTTTCACTATTTGTTATTCCTACATGCAAAACGCAATATTTCTGCATGACCCCCTGTATTTGAGGGCTGCCGCTGCCTCCCATCTTGGTGGCTGAAGTGTGTATGTTTAATATCGTTTGAGTTGCATTGCTAGGCAACAGGCTAGGAGTTGTATGACCCTGGATTTACAGAAACAATGGCCAACAATTGACAGGGACTTAAATAGAAAGCTGATGCTCACCAGTTGGCTCCATGTCAGCGTGGTGAGAATGAAAACGTGCCATTCTGGAAGCAAGTCCTCTGACACAACAGCAGATAATAGTCAACACAACCAGACTGGTGGAAGTTGAGATCAATGGAACAAAAGCACTACTCCTTTGACATTCACGCCTGATGGCTTCTCACCATTCTGATCTGATTTATGGCAGCACAGGCACAATTTATATTTTATGTCCGGATTAATCCTCAGATGGCATCTTCAGGCTTTTAATTACAGTGATATGAGCACAGGACATGGTTATTCCCATTCATGCTGACCAGTTAGCCAATTAATTGATTAGTTGATCAACAGTAATTAAAAGAACAACTATTTTAAAAGTGTAACTAATCTAAGAAAACATGTCAAACTGCTGCATGTTCCAGTTTCTCAAATGTGAGGATGTGAGACTAGACACAATTCTCTTAACAATATAGTATGAATATTTTACAATTTAGCGAATAAAACAAGGAATCTACACTCCCTGACAAAAGTCTTGTCGCTTATCCAAATTGTAGGAACAACAAATAATGACTTGACTTCTAGTTGATCATTTGGAATCAGAAGTGGCTTATATGAAAGGCAAAGGCCTCTAGATTATGCTTGTTTTACCAAAATAAAATCATCATTCCCTGATTTTTAATTATTTAATTAGGACAGAAAGGTCAGACTTTGCTTAGACAAAAGTCTTGTCGCATAACAAAATAATGTACAGTACAGAACATAAAGTTATGGTGCCGTGGAAAAAGAATTAATATTGTGCATGACTCCCAGGAGCTTGGAGGACTGCATCCATACGTCTTGGCAATGACTCAAATAACGCATTAATGAAGTCATTTGGAATGGCATTCTTGCAGGACTCCCAGAGTTCATCAAGATTCTTTGGTTTCATCTTCAATGCCTCCTCTTTCATCTTACCCCAGACATGCTCAATAATGTTCATGTCTGGTGACTGGGCTGGCCAATCCTGGAGCACCTTGACCTTCTTTGCTTTCAGGATCTTTGATGTGGAGGCTGAAGTATAAGAAGGAGCGCCATCCTACTGAAGAATTTGCCCTCTCTTGTGGTTTGGAATGTAATGGGAAGCAAGAATGTCTTGATACTTCAGGCTGTTGATGTTGCCATCCACTCTGCAGATCTCTTGCACGCCGTCATACTGAATGTAACCCCAAACCATGATTTTACCTCCACCGAACTTGACTGTTTGAATCTTGGGTCCATGTGGGTTCCAATAGGTCTTCTGCAGTATTTGCAACGACTGAGATGCAGTTCAACAGATGATTCATTAGAAAAATCGACCTTCTGCCACTTTTCCACTGTCCATCCTTCCTGCAAGCTGTGGGCCTTGGCAAATGCAACACGATTTTTTAGTTGTCTTCTGTTTAATGCTGGTTTCTAAGTACTAATTCGGCCATTGAGACCACTGCCTGAGAGAATTCAACAAACTGTTCTTGTAGATACAGGGGGTTCTTGTGACCAGTTTTTATGTATCTCTGCTGTAGTTGAAAAAGGGCTGGCCCTGGACTGTCGAAGCAACAAACGGTCCTCTCAAACAGTTGTCTTACGGGGTCTGCCTGACCTGGGCCTGTCATGAACTTCGCCAGTTTCTTCAGATCTTTTTCTTATCCTCTCCACTTGACATTTAGATACATTAAAGATGTCTGCCACCTCACCAGGAGACTTGGTCTTCAGGCTCTTGATGATCAGCACTTTGGTCTGTGGTTGAATCTTTGGCATGCTGTCAAAGGTCAGGGTGCATTTCAAATGAAGGTTGGGTGTGCTGGGGTTCTTCTTATACACACCTGGGAATGTGTTAATTACAGTATTTGGCACAGGTGATGCTCTAATCTGTGATTGGTTGAATCCTTTAAAGATACGGCAAGACTTTGGTCCTTGCAGAAACAGATGTTATGGGCTTTGCCAAGCTGTGAACATCAGGACAACTGTCACACTGTGTATTTGGCAGGTGTGTTTCATTATGTTCTGATATTTTATAACTACATGCTTTAAATATAGTCAATATTTTTTTTAAATTAGGATAAGTAACCCTAGTTTCACAATGAAACGGCACAAGGGAATAAGATTTGCTGTTACACTGACACACTGTATGTAACAGCAGCATTTATCATCTAAGTCGGGACTAAAAAACAAATAACAGGTAACAAGGTGTTATTTTATTATTCTAATAAAAAAAACATTTAACCATTTTGATGCTTTTCAGTCTTTCTCAGATTCAGTTCTCAATGAAATGAAATATAATTTTCATGGTTATCACATTAAACACAAAAATAGGTACAGTGGCCAAATTCATGTTTTTGCAACTTCAGTATAAGTGCATGTTAATAACCTGCATTCAGATATTCTTTTGAATGTTGTTAAAAAGCTGCAAACTTCATCCGGCCTGCCCTACTTCTAAAACCCAACTCTGCAGAGTATAGAATGAAAAAAAGCTGTAATGTTAGGTGTGCCGAATGGCAACAAGACAAGTAATAACTAAAAGTACCTTAAGAAATATTTTGCTAACAAACCTCATGGGCACCTGAAGATTGTATTATAAAAAGGAGAGAATTTCCCGTGCTATAATGCAGCATGTCAGTTTTGGGTGTGTAATACTGTAAATGCACTTCTTATGCTTTCAATTCTTGCCGTGCCTCTAGGGTTCTACGCACCATGCTCGGCTCCCAGCAGGCAGCACTCTGGCAGCATCTTTGGGTGTCTGGGATTCACCTCCACTTTGATGGATACATTGTTTCCTGCACACACACAAACACACACAGACAGGAATGTACCCCTGAAACAACAACTGACTTTTTAATCATATGGGTAAATATTATTTTGTCTATGATAATTAGTGTTGCTCGGTTGCACAAGCAACATTAACCTGTGATGTACACTGACACGTGTGTTATGTTTTACCGATGGTGATCCGCCTCATAGTGTCAGACCAGGTGGGTTTTTCTGGCTCCAGAATCCAGGTCTGGCTGTCAAGCTCGTCCAGGACGTCCCAGAACTCTGTCAGGGACTCCAAAACCAGAACAAACTGCTTATGGAGCTGTTCCAGAGTGCTCTACCAAAATCACACCACAACAAGCAGTCAGTACAACACTGGAGTATTCCAAAGTGCTGCAACAGCAGTGAAGGCATTGTTATAAACTAGCTTACTGCCAAAACTGCGCCTATCTTTTGTATTACCGCAGCCTAGTAGCAGTCCAGTCCAGTCTCTGACTAATTTAAAAAAACAAAAAAAACAATGAGATATGAAGGTGTGTATTGAGGAACTACAAACATGACATTTTCTGCTTAACTGTGTTATTAAAGGAACAGGGAACCACACTCATGTGCTTCATAACTGAGAGTTAGGTTGGAAGACATCTCATGAAACACCACAGAGGGGGATAAATATCTCCGGCTCAACACCAGTCAGTCAGAACTGATGAAGCCTCTTGGATGAGAAGTGAAACGTCTTCGACCTAGAAATCTAAGTCCAGTTGATTTTTTCTAAGTTTTTTCAGCTTACTATATGACCTGGATGACTGAGAATCTGCACAGACAATAGCTAGTTTCATTGAATTTCTGCAGGCCTGTCAACGGTGAGGTTGTCAATGTTTATTTACAGTATTGCCTGTACAGAGACCTACTAAATATTTGTTCATAAACTATAAATAAGCTAGATGTAAACTATAGCTTGACAAACTGTCAGAATAAAGCAAACACAGGTAAATCCCAAAATATCAAACTTTTCCATGAAGAAGGTGAAAATAATGCTCTCGTTTAGTAAGTAGTTGTTTAACAGAAAAAGCTAATTCCCTCTGTCACTTGGAAATAGTAAATTGTGATTAGGTTTATGTCCAAAACAGTGCACTTGCCAGAATCTTTTAATTTTATTATCAGTCTATGATCACAACAAAACACGACACCGTACATTTTAGCTTCTGATACAACCAAACGCAGAGGGCTTCCGTTGTCTCATTTGAGGCAACTGGAGCGAACTGAAAGGGCAGCTGGCAATCCACCGGTTGATTAAAACTGAAGCAACTTAAGGTATATACATGTTCATACACACACACAGATAAAAGAAAGGGAGGCTGATGGAAGTGTGGGAGAGCCATACAGATGGAATGAGAAGGAAAAATTAGTGGAAAAAATGAACCAAAAATTATGGGTCATTGTGCCAGCACAGTGCACACAATTAAGCATCGTCCAGGTGCTGAGAGCCTCAGCAATTACAGCCCAATTAATGCCAGTGGCATGATTATGGTTACAGCTCAGGATAACTACGCTAGGCCCAGTTCAGAAAGATTCAGAAAATAAAGGAAGAAGAGATGGTAATTGAATTCTTGCTCTATCAGACAAGAACATGGTTGAGCGCAGAAGGCTGTAAGAAAGCATTAAAAACACTGAATCTGAGCTGAGATTTGCTCCTTGGCCACCTCAATCAGTCCTCTTTATCTATTTATGATATCTTTGACTGCCCTCCTTTTAGCTCCTAAAAGCAGCTCAGCTGAAAGAATTCACTCCTCTCTACATGGATGCTGGTAAACTAAAACCTATTTTCTATGCATTCTTTCCTCATTGAACAGCCTCTAATTTAAAATGAATTAAGAAATAATCATTTATTATTAATAAAAATGGTTCTTCCCCCTAAGACTAGTCTCAAGAGAACACATATAGTGTGGCACTGCTTTGCTCCTGAAGATTGTAGCTGTGTCTATTAATATGTTAAGCTGGGATGGTTAACATTACTGTACTCCTCAGAGGACACAAAGGGAGTTAAGTACAAAACACAATCAGGCCAAATGATCATTATCTAGGGCTACACAGCATGTGAGTGGATGCAACAGACGTTTTGCTTGAAAAGATCACAGTGGAGGAACAAACAGAGTTGCTGGAATTAAATTTTAAACGTTCTGTTACACTATCTGAAAAACACTGCTAATGACGTGGAATGTGAAAGACAATCTATATGTGACTGGATATGTGTGAGCATTTTTCTCTCCCGAATGACTTGAGTTCTTCTCTGTCCACCAACACATTTGCTTTGCTTATCTAAAATGTATCTGTGTCGAGATATTGCTGTCTGTATATCCTGTGCTGAACATGGCTGTGCTATACAGAGAAAAGCTCTTGTAAAAGCAAACAAGTCTTCAATTTAAAATGTCTGATCTCAGATTTGCTTGAAATTGCCTGAGGGAACTCACCTATAACTATATGTGTGAATCCACATCCTGACCAGACTGCAAGAAACGTTTGTGAGTGCGAATGGGTGAATGGCCAAGTGGTGTGAAAGCGCTTTGAGTGTGCTGCAATGCATAGAAAAGCGCTATACAAGTACAAGACCATTTACCAAAGTATATGCAGTTTTATATTACAATAAACATATTGAGGTATAGTAAATGTTCTCAAACATCTATTAAGATTCATCATCGTATGTGCAAAGAAACTTTCCTGCTCAGTGATTTGCAACTTTGGCCATGATGGCATAATAAAATTAAAAACCAAAAATGGTTTGGTGACAGCCTCTGAAGAGTGGCACATTTTTGCTATATTTTGGTCCAAGCAAAATGAGCCAGGGTTCTGGATGCATCCTTATGGTTGTGAGATGATTAATAGGAAGGGAGATGATACACTTTTTTGTTGTCTTTAACTTATTCTCAAATCTTGCTCTCAATAAATACTGGCCATACTGTATGTGACCTCCAAATTTGAAAGGGATTAACAGCCTTTGGTCAAAATCCTCATTGACATATATAGCATATGATGAGGGGTCATGGCTCAGCTGAACTAACAGGGTTGACAACTAGCGTTTTAGACTGCTGATCAGACAAAATAACCTATGTGGATACAACTCTTTTGAAAATTTAGAGATGTAAGGTTTAGTCACAGATCAATTAATACTGACAATCATTATTTTTAGCCAAACTACCCGTAGCTTTAACCCTGACGTATCGTTGTGTTAAATACATTTCTGAAGATATGCATGACACTTAGATACAAGGCAGTACACAAGAGGCAGGAAATGCTGTGGAGTCAAGCTATGATGTGCATCCAGCAGTGGCTCTGGTTTCCACTACTCAGGCAGCCCCACACACATCCACCTTTTTATTCACACTTCAATCTCTTCAGATTTGCAGATTTTGGTTGGTAAAACCTCCCTAGTATGGTGTGCAAAGGACATAAACTATACAAATACACACACTGAGGCTTATTTTTCTTCCAATTCTAGTTCCACACAAATGCACAGAGTGGCACGTCTTGGCCCTACAACAGAGCAGGCAATAATTACTCATTCAAATGAACATGTCAGGACTGCCGACAGACAGCCCCCCACCCCCACCCCACACACACACAAACACATGTATCCTTCACACATCAGACAAACACACACTTGGCACAGACGCAAGCACATACATACACATTCAGTATATACGCATACACATGCACTTCATGTTGCAGTGTGGGAGAGATCCATCAACGGCCCAGCAGGCAGACAGTCTCCATACGGTAGCGCTGTTCTAGGCTGGTCCTCACTGTATGCCTGCCATGTATCAGCTCAGCAACACACACACACACACACACACACAAAAAGATATGCCCACACATTATCTATATCTCTGCTCAAACTCTCTCACTGTTCTCTCCTCTCTCTGATTTTTGCCTACACTGTCACCTCAACTCACACACACACACACGCACGCACGCACGCGCACACACACACACACACACACACACACACACACACACACACACACACACGTAATATACTTGAAACTCCTGGAAAAACTGTCTAATGTAATGCTCAGATACAGAGCAATAGGTTTTATATGATGGACAATGTGACTGTCTGACTGCAAAAAAAAGCATGTGAGAGAGAGAGTGTGATGTGACAGACTCCAAGCAATGGCAGGGATAAAAAGCAGCCACAATGAAAGAAGCAAGATGACAAACAACAATAATGAGGAGGCAAAGAGATACAAAGAGTACACAGCTGCTTTTACATCAAAGCACTGTATTGCCAATTATAGTGGACTAAATTTGAGGGGCTAGAAGAAAATGTCTTAATACAGCAGGTGGAGAAGTGTTTTGTCAAATTATGGGATAAGTAGCTGAGGATGACTGAAGTGTAGCCCTTAATCACAGTTTGAGTCTCAAATGGCCTCAAAACGTCACACTACAAAACATTAAATGGAAACATGCCCTGTCCACATTTCAGGATCTGAGGTTTAACAAAGTTAAACTGTAATAATATATGAAATACATCTGCCTGAGAGAATAATGTGACAGATTTGGCATAATAGGCTGATTCTTGGAAATTTGTTGTGGCCTTGAAATGTCTATGACATGTCTATCCACCCTGACCATTTACAAATGATGACAATCTGATTTGGCATTATTGTTTGCATTATATACTGACCTGAAACATACTTTTTATATTGTATGATAAAGGTCATGTGATTGTTAAAAAACCAAGTATATTACAGTTTGGATTTATGTCAGTGGTGCAAGAAAATTTCCAGTGGGGAATTGGCAGGGTGGGGTGGTGTATTCCTGTCACTTTTCAAAATTATAGTTTTGCCCTGGCTCCATTTTTCATTTTCTTACAACATAATCTTTGTTTAACTGCCAAAAGCCAAATGAAAGAAACATGATCAAATGACACAAGTGTGGATTCGCTCATCTCAAACAGCCATCCATGAAATTTTGTAGCAGTAAAACTTTAGCAGCAGCAAGTGCACCATGGACTTCATTTGTCCTAGATGTAATATCTCAGGCCATGTGGCAGCTGAACCTTGTTACTGGCAGAAGTCTTTGAGGCCTTATACCATATCTACTCAACCTATGTAGTGAAAATATACTATAGGCCGCAAGTAAAACACAAGCCATTACACCACCTGTAGTCGGCTGTACTGAATGAAATACAGTACAGTCTATCAGTGAAGTGCATCTACTCCATCAGATGTGCGAGACCATGACTAAATGGTAGATACACCAATAAGGGGTTGAGGTGCTTCAGAGCTAACACCATAGCTGGCGTGCACCTCCTCAAAAATGTAACTACACTTGGGGTTGCAGTGCCCATAGAGCTGACACATGGAGAGTACAGTGATTGGTCAGCTTGGGCTGCTTGTATCTGTCCTAAGGCTGTGATGCTGAATGACAGCTGCCCTCTGTCCTGGTAATAAATAAGTATAAATCCACAATTGCACAGCTGTAGTCTCCTATTCAGTAACAGAACAAGGTGAAACAAAAATTACTGATTATAATGCACTTCTACAAGTACATGCCTAGCCCACCACTGTCTTATAGCACAAAGTAAATGAAATAATGTAAACAGATGCTGTGGGGAATATCATTAAAACACAATGGGTTCTGATGACATACAATGTCTGGCACTGAGGTGGTGCAAACAAGTGAATTCTGTCACTGAACTGTTCTGTAGTGGTACTCTTGTAGATTTCTGTCACTGGACTACCATAATTATGGGAAGCACAACAAGCAGTTGCATTCCATTTTATTATTTACTAGGCTGCTGTTTCTTGCCTTTTTGATCATTCACATTTACTGGTTTCTGAGGTCAAGAATGAGCTCTGAACTTCAGCTTTTACTGTAAGTTCTTCAAGTGCTTTATAAAAGCTGAAATTCAAACATCTAATTTCCGTAACAAATGAACAAACTATCTGCTGAACAGAGATAGTTTTCTCAACAGTATTCACACAGACTCAAGGTTTTTTGTTAATTTAAATACTTCTAGATATTGTAGAACCTCTTGAGTTCATTGTGTCAACCCCACTTCAAAATCCGCATTCTTGCTATGTGTGTGTATTTACAGGTTTCATATACAACAAGTTCAAGAGCTTTTGCAACAAGTACAAATAGGTGAACGGAGCATTGATGAAGTTAAATGAAATGAATTAAAGTAAAAAAATGTAACATAAGGTCTAAGGACATGAGTGACTTTTTAATTAAAATTTTTGTGCTTTATTGTGTTGTGTTATTTTAGAGATTTAATCACAGTGGACCTTGCCTGAAATGATGAGAACTGTTTTGAAAAGATCAAAAAATGCACATAGACATGAGCTGCATGAAATGACCATTCGTAATCACAGAACCTGTTTAAAATAGGTTGGCCCACACAAGCTTGCTGACCATTTTCACTTCTGTCAAACTTTAAATTGAGTCCATGAAGCCGAATATTTGACCTCAGAAACTATCAAAGCCTGGCTACTAATGTTTAATTTAGTGTGTAATTTGTTAATTTTCTCTCAGACAGAACATATTAGTTTTTTGGCAGCTTTCTTAGAGTTCTGACTTGGTTATTTGAAGCTACAGAACAGGGCCGGATCAAGCCTGTCTGTTCTAGTGGTGCAGCAAAAAAGTCTGGAAGACTATACTGTCAACACACCTTTGTTTTACACTCATTTTTTTAAAATACTCCCTACCATAAACTTGTCACCATTTCACCTTTTCCCATTCAGATTGATTACTGCATTAGAGCAAGAGCCTTCTTTTTTTGTGCAAAAACTCAAAACTCATCCATGTCTATGTGGAAGGGAGCTCCGGTGGATTCTCTGGCTGAGAACCAGTGGACTGGGAGCTCTGCTCTTAATAACATTTGGGTCAGGGGCAGTATCTACTCTGTAAACTAAAAACCAATACATAACAAATTAGTAGTGTAATCTAACAAACACACTAAACTAGTGACGTCAGTCAAATGAAGTGTGCTACCACCTTATCACCATGCAAGATCTGGGCCTGTTATAGAAGCAGTATAAACTGACATATATTTTGGTTTATGATTATTAGTTGGTGTATCATCATTTTACAGCAAGAAGAATCTCTGACACCAAATACTAAGAAAGGCTTTCAGATTTTCTTAATTCATGATTTTTGTGCTGTGAACATTAGTACTACTTGAAAGCTGCCTATTTATTTTGCTTACATCAACCCTGCTGACAGAACACCTAGTAGCAAAAATTGCATTATATACAGTTTGAGTGCATACCTGTGGCGTCCATGTTATGGCCAGTGGGACTGGCAGGTCAGCTGAGCATTCAGGAGCCTCTGCAGGGTGCTATGGGTGGAGAAGATAGGGCAGTTCATATACTGTAAATGAATACTTTATTAATGAAAGCTAATCCGAATCTTTGCTTTAACAAGTGTGTACCAAATGCTAGATTTGACTGCCCTCCCTGTTTTCTTTTTTTTCCCTTCACAGTTTCACTGAGCACTGATGCTGTACAGCATCCACACTATGTTATCTAATTTTTTTTTTTTTATGGATGCTGACTCAGCATCCATACTATGTTTTCCTGGTCTTTATTATTGTATGGATGCTTATTCAGCATCCATACTATGTTTTCCAATTATTTATTATAGTGTGGATGCAAAGCAGTCACACTGCTGTTATCCTGTTCTTTATTATTGTGTGGATGCTGTGAAGCACTTATGCTGTGAAGCATCCACACTATGTTATCCTGTTCTTTATTGTATGGATGGTTTTTGCATAATTAACATTTACATTTTATGTCTCATTTCAATAGCCACACTCTAGAAGTTCTCAGTGTGTAGGACTACTCTTTCTTTCTCATACACACACACACCAACATCTACACACCAACACACACAACACTACTTCTTTTTCATACTTTGCGGGGACCAATAGGAAAATGTTCATATCTTAGTAAGTTCAGTATACTTTCAGCTAGAAAAGCCATTCTGGTATCAAAATGTTCAGGTTTTTCAGGACATTATGGCATGTATTCAAGTTATATACAACTTTCATACTTTTGGAAACATTCAGCATTTATTTTGACAATTTTGCCCCATTCAAATGAATAGGGAAATTCAACTTCAACATAATTTCAACTATCAAAATGTTCAGTTCCTCAAGGACATTCATGCCTCTATTCACAATATTTCTAAACATAATACTTTTGAAATATTTAGCTTTATTTTGAAAGTTCTGCCCCATTCAAATGAATAGGGAAATTCAACTTCAACATAATTTCAACTATCAAAATGTTCAGCTCTTCAATGACATTCATGCTTCCATGCAAAATTTTTCTAAACTTCATACGTTTGAAATATTTAGTTTTATTTTGAAAGTCTTGCCCATTCAAATGAATAGGGAAATTCAACTTCAACATAATTTCAACTATCAAAATGTTCAGCTCTTCAATGACATTCATGCTTCCATGCAAAATTTTTCTAAACTTCATACGTTTGAAATATTTAGTTTTATTTTGAAAGTCTTGCCCATTCAAATGAATGGGAAATATCTACTTCAGCATACTTTCAGCTATCAAAATGTTCAGCTTCTTACTTTAGTATACTTTCAGCTATTTCAGGTATCAAAATGTTCAGCTCCTTAAGGATATTCATGCTTCTATTCAGATGTTTTCTAAACTTCATACCTTTGAAATATTTAGCTTTATTTTGAAAGTTCTGCCCCATTCAAATGAATGGGAAAAATCTACTTCAGCATACTTTCAGGTATCAAAATGTTCAGCTTTTCAAGGACATTCATGCTTCTATGCACAATTTTTCTAAACCTCATAATTTTGAAATATTTAGCTGTATTTTGAAAATCTTGCCCCATTCAAATAAATGGGGAAATTCCAACTTCCAAAAAACAGCATACTTTCTACTAGATGAAAGTATGCTGTTTTTTGGCACTTAATTTTTTCAGCATACTTTCAGCTATGAAAACCGTTCAGGTATCAAAATGTTCAGCTTTTTAAGGACATTTATGCTATTATTTTTCTTCTTTATAACCTTTATAACTTTTTAAACTAGTGTTTTTCAGCTAAATTTTGCCCATTCAAATGGAGGGGAAAAAATTCTACTTCAGCATACCATCGCTATTTCAGGTATCAAAATGTTGAGCTCCCCAAGAACATTCATGCTGTTATTCAAAATTTTTCTAAACTTCACACTTTTAAAATATTTAGCATTGTTTTGAAAATTTGTGCCCATTCCAATGAATGGGGGAAATTCTACTTCAGCATACTTTCAGATATTTCAGGTATCAAAACGTTCAGCTCTTCAAGAACATTCCTACTTGTATTTATTGCATCTCATCCTTCAGATTATTCAACAAAGACCCTCAGCCATTTCTTCTCAACTATTTCAACAAAACTTCAGCCATTTCTTCTCATCCTTCAGCTGTTTCAGCAATTAATTTCAGGCATTTTCAAGATGATCTTTTAGCTTGTCAGCATCCACACGCATTTACGACAGTAAATGCATTTCTCTAGTTTCTATTATGATGATTTTTCTGTTGCTGTTATACTACTATTAATGAAACTTGACACTTCTGCTAAAGATTTTTCACATTTAAAGTCTTCTGGAAGCTCATAAAATATAATCACTACTATTCCTTACAGACTTTCATTATGAAACTTGCAGGAAGTGTTGAATTTTACCGATGGTACCTTAACATGGTTCAACAAATGAAAAAAATGGATTAGTAGATGAAATCTGTACATCTGTAATGCTAAAATTTTATTTTGTCTTCAATTAAAAGCTTGTTTAGAATTCACAAGCCAGATTTCCTCTCTAATATCATAAAATTCTGTGTCCTTTCCCTGTGCTCTTCCTTTCTCACTCCCCTGGCAACCAAGCCTCCCTGTGTCCATGCCAGTGCTGCGTCCTCCCTAGCTGTGCCTGGTGAGGGATGACCTGGCGCTGGATCTGGAGAAAGCAGCTGGAACAAAAGGGAGGACTCCTAGCTATTTTTACCCAGTGCCAAAGGGGTGAGGAGGGCCAGATGGGCAGGTGGGCATAGAGAGGAGTCCCATCACCCTCCCTTGTCCCCGGTGAATGTCATCCAGGCTTTGGTATGCACCTCCTCACCATGCCCAGAATATGCAATCCTAAGATACTTAAAATTTTGTCAAGTCTGACCCAAATAGATTTGAAGAAACAGTTTCAGAGAGGCAGGGGTGAAAAACAGATCCTTAATTGTACAACAGTAAAATATAACAAGGGATTTTAAGCAGTTTTTGAGCTTGTACTTTATCACCGAGTTCAACATTTTATCATGACACTCCAGTTGCCAATAGAGCTGGATGACAAAAACAATCTTGATGAGGCGTCTGACTACTTTGTTTCTTAAGTTTAACATCAGGTGGTACTGTATGACTGAACAGAATTTTTTATTAAAATTATAAGCATAAGCAAAACTTTATTGCCAAGTATTTCAAGAACACAAGGAATTTGACTCCAGCTCAATGGCACCCAATGTGCACAACATAAAAACTATATAAATACACAAAATATACAAGTTTAAAAAAGGCACAAGTTAAAAGACCAACATAGACTAGCTGTTCATCAGTGTAATAGCCTGGGGGAAAAAACTGTCTCTGTCTGGTTGTCTTGGTGCACAGTGACCTGTAGCGCTGTCCAGAGGGGAGGAGCTCAAAGAGTTTGCATCCAGGGAGTGAGGGGTCTGCAGAATTCCTCTCTGCCCTCCTTTTGACTTGTAAGGTGCACAGGTCCTCCATGGAGGGCAGGCTGGCACCGATGATTTTCACTGCAGTTCTGACTGGCCGCTGGAGTCTGTTCCTGTCTTGTTTGGTTGCTGAGCCAAACCAGACAGCAATGGAAGTACACGGAACAGACTAAATGATTCCCCTATAAAATTGAATCAGCAGCTCCTGAGGCAGGTTGAACTTCCTGAGCTGACACAGGAAGTACATCCTCTGCTGTGCCTTTTTAATAATGGCGCTGATGCTGGTTGTCCACTTCAAGTTCTGAGAGATTGTGGAGCCCAGGAACTTGTAGGACTCCACAACTGAAACAGTGCTGCTGAGTATAGTGAGCGGAGATAGGGTGAGGGAGCTCCTCCTAAAATCCACTATCATCTCCACTGTCTTCCGTGTGTTCAGCTCCAAATTGTTACGGGCCAGCTGTTCAACCTCCTGTCTGTAGGCCAACTTGTCACCATCTTAAATGAAGCAAATGACTGTTGTGTCATCTGCAAACTTCATGATTTTTACAGAAGGGTCTCCTGATATGCAGTCATTAGTATATAGGGAGAACAACAGCGGGGGAGAGCACACATCCCTGGGGGGCACCTGTGCTTATGGTGCTGGATGTGGTTTTCCTCAGCCTCACCTGCTGCTTCCTGTCTGTCAGAAAGTTGGTGATCCACTGACAGGTGGGGGCAGGCACAGTCAGCTTGGTAAGTTTGGAGTGGAGGATGTCTGGGATAATGGTGTTAAATGCCTAACTGAAGTTGACAAATAAGATCCGAGCATAGGTCCTTGGTGAGTCAAGGTGTTGCAGAGTGTAGTTCAGTGTCACGTTGACTGCATCATCCACTGACCTGTTTGTTCGGTAAGCAAACCGTAGGGAATCCAGCTGGGGATCTACAATGTCCTTCAGGTCGGCCAATACCAGTCTCTCAAAACACTTCATAACAACAGATGTCAGGGTGACCGGTCTGTAGTCATTCAGTTCCCTGATGGAAGATTTCTTGGGAAGCGGGATGAGCATTTGAAACAGGAGGGAACTATACAAAGCTCCAGTGACCTATTGAAGATCTTCGTGAAGATATGAGCCAACTGGTCAAAACAAATGTTCAGACAGAAGGGGGTCACACTGTTTGGGCCTGGCGCCTTACTGATCTTTTGTTTGATATATGATGTCACCCTATCAGTATACTCATTCAAGTCTGTAGCTGCAGCCTCAAATACAGTCTGTGCAGTCAAAGCAGGCTTGTAGCTTTGACTTTGCCTTTTCAGTCCATCATTTCACACTTTTGACCACAGGCTTTGCAGCTTTAAGTTTCTGCCTATAAGTGTGAATGAGGTGGATTATACAATGGTCTGAAAGTCCAAGAGCTGCATAAGGAACAGAGCGGTAGGCATCCTTGATTACTGTATAACAATGGTGCAGTGTGATTTTGTCCTTGGTGGGACAGCTGACATGTCTGTATTTGGGAAATTCGTGAGTAAGGTTTGCTCTGTTAAAATCCCCCAAAATAATAAGCAGGGAGTCTGGGTGTTTCTCTTCCATACTTATTATCTGGTTGGCTAGGAGCTGCAATGCATTTCTAACACAGACTTGTGGAGAAATATAAGTACCAACCAAGATAAATGAGGAAAACTCTCTAGGAGAATAAAAAGGTTTACAGTTAATGGATAATGTCCGAGTTACAAGTTCTGTCCAGCATTGTAATGTCCCTACACCAACCTTCATTAATGTAAAAACAGATGCGTCCTCCTCTCTTTTTTCCAGATAGTTCCTTCACTCGGTCTGCTCTGTAGATCTGAAATCTTGGCAGCTGAACAGCCTCGTCAGGGATTGAGTCATTGAACCACATTTCCACAAAGCATAATGCCGCAGAATGTGAAAAATCTGAGTTAGTCCGATTGACGAGCAGTGGTTCATCCATTTTGTTAGCAAGGGAACAGAGATTAGCTAGACATATTTCCAGGAGTGGCGTTCTGTATGCCTGCTGTCGTAGTCTTGCGAGGGCGACTCCTCCACTTTCCAATAATAGCTGCTGCTCCGCCAGCTAAAATGTTCAAAGGTGGGACTGCGCTCCTCACACACACTCATACAGCTGAGCAGACGACGAGTCAAGTATCACAATGAGTTCACATCAGGCAGTCTCAGAGCAGCGCACTGACATATGCCTCTGCTTTTTCTGAACTGAGCTCACATTGAGTGGAATTCCCTAAAAACTGTATATAATCATCTACATTGCCTTACATTTGATGTAATATTAACAATTAATCAAATTATATGTGATAAATATTAGGGGTGGCACGATACCACTTTTCCATGTCCGATACCGATACCCCAATTTTGAGTATCTGCCGATACCGATCCAAAATGATATTTTTCCCCTCTGTTAAACAATTGCTTAGTAACACATTTGTCAAATATTCTACTCTCCTAAAGGAAGAAATACATCGCCCACAACCATGAGTTGTGCAACACTGCTGCTTAATTTTTATTTCAATTCTTCAAACAGAGAACTTTTAGCAGCACTTTTGACTAGTCAGCACAATTCAAACATTCAAGTAAAATTTTAGGTGCACCTTTGTGTAAACGTTTGTTATTCTCTAAATACTTAGGTTTGAAAGAATAATAATTCCAGCATCAAACACTGGATATAACCATAACTTAAATAACAATAACTTAACATTAAATGTAATAGAATCTCCATAATTGGACAGTAAAACACAGTAACCTAGTCTGGTATTGAACTGTAAGACCAGTACGAACATTTGAAACATCAAGTAAAATATTTGAATATTTATTCAAGTTTTTCAGTACCTGCCTGGCCATGAAAACTGTCACAAAAACCAGTGCATCATGTTTTCACTGTCCTTGTTTAACTTAAGTGTGTAACTTCACTTTAACATGAGGGGCAAATTCTTTTTTAGAAAGATTAGCATTTCAGCCTTCTCAGCTGTCAGGCTGCTCCTCCGTTCATCAATAATAATGGAGGCAGAGCTGAAAAGTCTTTCACTCTCCACACTTGTTGAAGGTGCACAGAGAAATCTAGCGACCATAACTGCCAGCTGAGTTTAAAATAACTCCACACAGCCGACATGGTAACGCTGATCGGTCTCACTCATGCCTGTCGATCACGTTGAAGCTACTGTTCATGTGACGTCTCGCTTTACAACACGTCGCTCATGTCTCGTAAAGCAGTCATATGATAGTTTAAAACAAATTCTCCGTAGTGTATCGGATCGGATTATTCGCCCCTCTCTTTGCGATATCCGATCCACAGATTTTGGCCAATATCGGACTAATATCGATACTTAATATCGGATCGGCTCACCCCTAATAAATATACAATCATTGGTAGGGATGCACCAATAGCGATACCAGTACTGGCTATTGGGTCTGATACCACCCTCTAGTACTTGTAAAAATTGTCTGATACTATGCACTGATACCACTTAACAGCAGCATAACATCAACCTCATGCTGGCTCAGCCAGTTGTTAGGAGGTGGAGAAGAAATTTCAGTGGTTTGTGGATATTTCAAGATAAGTAACAACGACAAAAGTATAGACGACAGTGAGCTGATCTCTGCTCTGCTGTGTGTCTGTGAGCGCCACTCCCTCCCCATCTCACACAGTCACACGGTCGCAGTTTACAGAGATGTCAACGCTCTATATTTTCATCCATAATGAAGAGAGTAATTAATCAAACATTTGTTGATCAAGCTGAACACAAGAACAAACTTGCAGAAATGTGACATCTTCACTCTTCCCAGTCAAAATGTCTGGCCCCATTCCCCTACTAAGCCCATACGGTGCTCGTTATGCAGACTGTAGTAAGTTATTGAGACCAAGCAAAAACTTAACTGAACTTCATCAAAATGAAATTAATGGAATTGAAATCAAACTGAACTGAGAGAGTATTTCATATCCGGTCCTAATCATGATGTGTTCCTGGAACAAACACCCTGCATTTCAGTACTATTCCACCAGTGCATTTATCTTTAAAGGTTCTGTGTGTTTCTCATAATAGCATGGAGCAGAGGCGGCAGCTGTGCAGATGAGTGTAGGTGTACTGTTTTTTTCTATGCAGAGAAGAAGCTTTTCCATCAAGCTGAGGTCTGTGCAGAGATGTTTAATCTGTGCTACATCTCAGTCACAGAGGGCTATTATACCTATGCATACCCTCTAGAGATTGACCTAAATTTAGGGGTGCAGATGTAAAGCACTCATTTGCTATCAGCAAACTGAACATCTAATATGCGTTTGGTGAATCTGACCTGTTTGGATTTGTATTGGCTGTGGGTCAACATCAAGCTACAGAGTGTTCCATTTGATGATGAATCATTTTCAGCATTAAAATTATCCAGGCCTTACTCTAAATTGTGTGTGTCCCTGTGCATGCAGGTGAGTGTCTGTCTTACCTTAGACTTGAGTTTAATAGTGAGAATGTGTTGCCTTCCAGAGGAGTCCTCTGCCTTCAGTCTCAGCGTTCGAAACTCTGTGTCTATGAAAAGCAGCCTGAAGATGGACACACACACACACAATACATACACAATAAATCCACATCCATTCACAGCAAGGTGTACACATTAACATATGTACCTTTCTCTGCTTTTTTGTGTTGTTCTAATGCAAACAAAAAAATAAACAGAAAAGCAAAAAAGGTGTGATTGCAATTTTCTGGGAGAAGTGGTGTGTTATCTGACAGAAATGCAGGGGTGCTGATATTTTTGGTACTGTTAGAAATTAATAAATTAGTCAGATAATTATTAGACATTAATGTCTTAGACTTTAATGTATTAGTGATGCAATTTAGTAAGATTCAAAGTCTGCTCTAGTCTGCTCTGTTTCAAGGTTAGCAGTAAGCCATGACACCAATTGTTTTCTTGTATTTCTTTTGTGCACCACGTAACAACAACCACACACATCAAGCTACCTCATTTTGTTATGACTAGGTAATACGCAGCTGCTCCAAGCCTGTGGAGCTCTAGATAAGAGATGGCGTCTGCTGGACGGACTTCATCTGTGTAAGGGGTTAGCCCAAAACTGATAAATGTATTAGGCTCTGTTGCTTCTCTCTCCAGCAGCCAGAGTGTGTGTGTTTCTGGAGGAAGGAACAACCCGGATTGTGTTGTGTAATTTATATAATTTTAAATAAACCAGCACTAAAATCAAGAAAGACGGACTCCTTCGTTATTCAGATCTGTCCAATAAAAAAACTGGGGTATAACAGTACAAATGTATATATTAGTGCTGTCAAATGATAAAAATATTTGTTATTAATCATAAATTGCACATTTAACTCTGTTCTAAACAGGGATTAAAGTGACTAGGTACACTTACTGAAGTACTGTACTTTAGTACAATTTTGAGAAATCCATACTTGAGTATTTTCATTTTCTGTTACTTCATACTTTGAGTGCGCTAAATTTTAGAGGTAAATAATGTACTTTTTACTCCACTACATTTATTTTATAGCTTTAGTTACTAGTAACTTTTCAGAACCTTTTCATTCATTCATTTTCCACCGTTTGTTCCCTGAGCGGGGTCACAAGGGGGGGGGGCGGAGCCAATCCCGGCCAGCAATCGGGCGAAGGCGGGGTACACCCTGGACAGGTCGCCAATCCATCGCAGGGCTAACACACACACACACACACACGCACACACACACACACACTCACCACACACACGCACATGCACTCCTATGGGCAATTTAGAGACACCAATCAACCTAAGCTGCATGTCTTTGGACTGTGGGAGGAAGCCGGAGTACCCGGAGAGAACCCACGCAAGCACGGGGAGAACATGCAAACTCCACACAGAAAGGTCCCAGGTGGGGCCCGAACCTGGAACCTTCTCGCTGTGAGGCAACGGCGCTAACCACTGTGCCACCGTGCTGCCCCTTTTTAGAACCTGATTAATACAAAAAATAAAGTACAACTATAAGAACTCACTGATCTATGGTGGATGTAGGATGTATCCCAACCTACCTTGTTATACCCCAGTTCTTTTATTGAACAAATCTGAATGAAGACGGAGTCCAACTTGCTTCATTTTAGTGCTGATTAATTATAGCCACAATAAAAAGTTACAGAAACACAAACCCGGGTGGCTCCTGCTCCAGACAACTGCTGGAAGAAAGGAGACCCCGGAAACACAAAGCCTAATACATTTATAAGGTTTTGGGCTAACCCCTTACACAGACAGATGTAAAAACATCAAGAGTTGGAGACAGTCCGACTTCTCCGTCTCTTATCTTATGCTCCGCATGCATCGAGCACAAGTCATAACAAAATAAAGAATTCCGTGTGTGTGTATGTTGTATGCGTGATGTGTAACTAAAACATTCATTTAGACATAATTCTTACACAAGATTAATACAAAAATAACTGGTGTCAAGGTACCCTTCTCAGAGTCAACATTATCTTCTAACCTTGAAGCAGAGCACACAGGAGCAGACTTTGAATCTTACTAAACTGCATTACTAACACACATTAAAGTCTAATAATTATCTGACTGATTTATTAATTTCTAACTGTCTTAATGACTCATGACAGCGGAGGAGTATACACACATACGGGTGTTGTTAACGCATAAGCCAATATACACTGTCGTCTTCTTCTTTTGTTTAATGACGATTGGCAAACAGCTTTAGATCACACGTTTATCACAAAATTCTACTCAATAATCAAAATCAATCACACACCGATGAGCCCACACCACCTACGTATATGCAAGAATATATGTGGGTATGTGTTAACCCTTAGCAATAGTATGTAGAAAGGTCACGGTCTTCTTCCCCGTCGAAGGGGTCCTCTTCAATCTCAGACTCACCGGGCTCAGTGAGTGAGATCATTGGGCATGGTTTCCCATGGATATTGGGATATCTGTTATCAGTGACAGTGGTGATACACTTTAGACAAAGATGCCTAATGTAGGTGATGCTGCAGCATCCACACAAGGTCAGCAAAGTAACTGCTGCCACAAAAGATGTAGCTAAGAAATCACTAAATTTTTCCACTTGCCAAAAATTTTTACAACCCAATCATCAATGCAATTTTTAATTTCTGAATGGTCAGCCATCTCCTCTGATAAAATTTTAACCTTAGCAATAGAGCCATCAGGAGCAGTATTATTTAAGATGTAAGTACAACACTGTTGCCCAATCATAGTGTTAACTATTGATGATGCTGGACTGTATGGATGCCTGACATAAATGCACAAGACGACGGTGCCTACCTATAATAAACCAAATAACAATAACAGGGATTTGCTACACATAGTACAAACACCCCCTTTTTTTAATCAGAATGAAGTCTAATGCCATTCTGTTCTGATACAACATAAGAGAAGTGGCTGCCAGTTGCTCCTGAAAACTAACAACTACATTTCTTGTAAGATTA